AGTTGGAAGACTAGAAAAGCGCTATACAAGTGCAGTCCATGTTAGCAGCATATGCTGAGAGTAGTACAGTATAACAAGTGAGCAAATGCTGCCTGCAGGTTCCCAGTGAGCTACAAAGGGAGACGGCTGTGTATTAGACAAGGACGGTTTGTCGGCATTGCGCTGCCATTGTAGGGTCTATGAATGGAAAACACATCCAACATGCTAACACACACATCTGACAGCATCACACAGATATGCTGATCACAATGACCATGGCTGTATTAAAAAAATAAAGTGTATTTTTTAAGTGTATTTTTGACACATTTGTGAGTCTTTGCAGTCCATTCCAGAATGGACCTGTGACCCACTTTTGGACCAGGACCCACCAGTTGGGAACCACTGCCCTAACTGATACAAATGTACCTACAGTATGTTAACAAAAAAAGGGGCTGATTTTCATAGACAGAGAGGTTGAAATAAATGAAGAGCCTCGACCAGACAGATGACGCCCATGCCACAGAAATGAGCCTCTTACTTTGCCCTAACGCTGCATTTCACAGCTTCAGTCTATTCCCTCATTAATTACAGCATGCCCACAGGACCATGGCTTCACTCGCCTCCAGGCTGACGTGAACCCCTCTGAACACTATTTTTACTCCGCTTCAGCTCCTTTCATAATAGGAATTTAGTCTGATTGAGAACAGAGGTGCTAACTGCATGGCGGAAGTGCACAACATGGCCGCTGCCAGCAGCAAGTGGACTTATCACATGTTGTACACAGCAGAAATACAGAAAACAGAAAAAATCTCAGTGAGCATAAAAGAAAGAAAAAGCATCCAGTAATGTGTGTCAAACAGCAAAATGCTCTGCATAGAATGAGCTGCAGCCAGGCCCATCATCGCTCAGTGGTATCGACATTCTGTCACACTGACATATTTTGACAAAGCCTCCCTGTCCGCCTGTCATTAGACTAAAGAGCTGGCTGCTGGACAAATACATCTCAAACCACATGTTCTCCATTAAATTAGGAGAGGGAGGAAAAAAGAGCCACTCGGAAAGATCATTTGGAATTTAGCAAATAGCTTGACAGCAAACTTTTGATGGATGTTGTTACAGTATCATTACTCTGATCAGATACAGCAGCAGGATTAACACTGATAGAACAAAGAAGAGATCCTGATGCACAGAGCAACTTGTCATTTCTTTATTGCCTACTTTGTGGAATCATATTTCACAAGTATCCGCATTTGCCGCCACACTTTAAGTTTTCTGGAGCTGCATTCCAAAAAGCCAACGCTATTCAGTTTATCATCATATGTGGCAAAGAAAAGCATCACACTCTTACATTTAGGAAGCATAAAACCAGCAATTTTTTTTGCTTAGAAAACTACTAAAACCATTATTTGATTCTCAAAAAAGCTGCCGACTAATTCTCTCAATCATGACTCATGTTGTCAAGTGAATCTATAATAAACCTTTGGTAACGTAAATCTATGTGACACTCCGGGCTTGCATAAGACTATGTATATTTGAATGTTCACTAGTTATCATAGCACAAATGGCAGAGTGTAAAGGTCTAGGTGGGGAAAAAAAAAAAAGGATTTTGCTAAAAGAGAAGGAAATCTCCTGTTGATTATTATACTTAAAGATCCTAGGGTACATTTTTTTGTGTTTGGGAGCTGTTTAAATGTGTAATTTGTGGTAGAGTTTATGTTGTCAAACTATTAATATTGTATACAGAATCTGAATCTCACTCAGAGTTACTGTCGTTCAAAAATTAAAGAAATGAGAGATAATATTTGGTTAGTTTTTACTGAATATATGAAGGCAAACTGTAAAACTGTATCACTTGTTTTGTTGCAATTCTTTTTTCTTGAACAATAATGAAATATTATTTTCACTAATTTGTCATATTGTTAAAATATCGTGATGTTATTTTAGGGCCATATCGCCCATCCCTAGTGTGCACAGCGCTAACGTGAGGCCAGAACTTTAGAAAAAGGAACCGACCAGGTGCCAGACCGTAAGCAGCACGCTACCAAGAGAAAGCTACAAAAATTGCAGACATAGCGCTGAAAATATGTAAATAAAGTGAGGCAAAACGCCAAGCGGACAAAGCAGCGACTGGCTTTCACTTTAGCTGCTGACACTGTTTGTAAAGCTGACGATTCATGCACAGTATACTTTTAATTCTCTGCCGATCAACTATGCGATTAATCGACTTATCATTACAGTTCTCCTTTAAATGGCTTTGTGTTGTTAAGCTTATTTGTCTTGCTGAATTGCATATACACAAGGTTCCCATTTAACCTTCAAAAACACACATTTTCACAGCACATGCAGGTTATTTAGAAAACACAAAAGTGACAGACTGACTGCAATGAAAAATTTGGCATGTTTTTGTTATAAAAAAAGACATGAATTACAGTTGATGCATTTTACACTCCTTCTGAAGACAATTCAAAACGCACATGAATAATAGAAACAGGTACAAGTCCATTATTGTTGTAAAAGGAATTCCCATTTGAACAATTTTGAAATATCAACTTAACAAGGGTGATGCCTCAGCAGGACCATGCAAGAAATATGAGGCTTGGCAAGTGGGCACTGCTGTTTAGACACAGTCGGAGCTTTGATTAATTATTCAATTTCCTCTCTATGAAAATTTCAATCCAAAATTTAAGAGACGGAAGCACACTGACCCACTTCTGCCACTCAAACAAGAGGCATGAACAGATCCGCCCACACCCCTCCTCTCTGCTCGCGTCCTGCACACTTCTCCCTCTCTGACAACATTTACATGTATTCTACACCACACACTAAGCTTGTTTCAAACAGGAGGGAATTATTTGACAGCTACACACTGTCTTCACTTGACCGAGGCTGCTTGATATGCAAAAACGACTAATAAGAAGGCAGAGAGGTGTCTATGATGGCCTAAATGGTTTATGCTTCAGTTGTTTTACATACAATGAGGACTTGGTGGTCATAACAACTCCTGGACATTAATGTGCATTGAAGTTCTGTGATGCATCCTTTGTTCAATCAATACTAACATATATATAGGTTTATTTTCATTTGATGATGTTGTTGTTAGTATTTTAGCTTATGTTCAGATAACTATAACCTAGGTCTGCATCTGTACTTTATGTGTTTAAAATACACGCATAAATTACAGGAAATTTGCAAAATAATCTCACTTACAATTATAATCTTATAGAGTCACGATTAATTATCTTTAGTTATTCTCAGACAAAAACATTTAAACTTAGCAACAGTTTCGTGACTCTGACATGCTCTCATCCAACATCAGTCCCCCGCAGTTTGACCACATGTAACAGGCTTTCAGATGTCGAGCTGGGCAAGCATCTGGAATAGTTTGAAAGTTTGCAAAGATGACCCCCCCAAAAACTGAGTGACAAATATGCCAAAGAAAATGGGTATGTTACAAATCTCCGACAAGCTCTCCTGAAAACTGTAAGTAACAGCTGTCCAGTAAAGTTTTTTTCTTTCTTTTTTGGTTATCATGGCCAATTTGCGACCCACATGCTAACAAAACGGCTAATTGTCACATTATTTTAGGTTTGTAGAATGATGTCATTGTCTCTTTTTTATACCCCCATTGAAGCTTTGATTAATTGCGGATATTTCTCACTGAAGCTTCAATGCCCAAAAAATGGTATTGGCGAAAGCCCTACCAAAAATTAAATTCAAAATAATTCTGTTGCCACAAATCTCTAAGGGTCCATATGAGTATGAAGCAAGACGACCAAACAAAAGTAAAGACATTACACCTCCATATTCCAAGACTGCTACCAACACATCATATGTAAGTGCCAGCCCTGCCAGCATGTTGCAATCGCATCAATTAATGTTAAATTTTTGCCTAATCACTGCAACTTCTCCACAAATTTGACCTATCATCGTAGTTTGCTCTGAGTCTCACCAATCATAGCAGTCCCCTTACTACACCAAACTCACTTCCTTGTTGACCTCGACCGTACAACACTAAAGGCTCACACTCACCAACAAAAATTACTGCTACAGACAGTGCAAGGTAATTTCATTCTGTTCTGCACAACATGCAGTGCTGAAGTAATGAGAGTCACTGACTGACAAACACTGTATTATCACAAAACGCTCTGCAAAATGGCTGAAATGTGTTGACAACAGACAAATCAAATCAACATGACAGAGGGTGATCTATTGCAAGTCAACAGGTTGTAAAAAGTTAATAAAATAACTTTATTGAATTATGAAAAAAAAGAACCTATTTTGCAGTTTTCGCTTGCTCACACTGCCTGCTATTTCATTGCAATAAAACACCTCAAAACATTGTGACATGCATCACATTTTTAGAAAAACTGCTGTGAAATCAGGCATTTTAAGCAACAACAATCCCCCCCCAAAAAAGCACAAAATCCTGGAGGGACTCAAGGCCCCCAGGAAAGCTGCTCAGCCTTGCAGACATTTTTTTCCAGTGGCCATTTGGGGTATTAAAGTGATGACGTCCCCTGTGGCCCAACACAAATGACTGTAAACTGGATACCTCAAACTGAGATCAAGGTCAGTACAACTCTTTCTCTTATGAATTTTTGATCCATGGAGGTTTCATTTTTATAAAATATCTCCATATCTCCAGCCAAGAAAAGCCTTTTTAAAAAAAAAAAAAAAAAAAAAAAAAAAAAACAGTGACGTCATCTGTAAAGTCTGTGGGCTGAGTGTGTAGGGGCCAGTGGGAGAAACACTACTGCACATATTCAGTGGGCTGCAAGCCCCTGAAATAAACCTGGAGGAAAGAAAATCTTTTTAGTGTACATGCACCATGCGAGCAATTCTCATTGAACTGTATAAGCGCCATCTCGGGTCTGGTATCCAGACCTAGTAAAACATCCATGGTGCACACATGGTGCAGTTTTTGAGTTAAAGATTTAAGAGGAAATGCCAGCAATACTCTCCATACATACTCATTTAATTTAGGAACCATGTGTGGAATTTGGAAATATGAATTAGCTTACCTCCATGTTTCTGTCCATGCATTTGGAGGGCGATGACTTGTCTGACCTAGAGGACTCAGCGCAGTAGGGGCGGTGGTCGTCCCAGCCTGCATGGGGAGTGTTGTGAGGGTGACAAATTTTCAGAGAGCCGCTCAAACAGGTGTCCACGACTGTGGCCGTGGTGCAGGGGTCAGCTGCACTGACGGCCCTCCTTAGAGGCTGCTTACCCCGATCTTGTTTGGTTTTCTTCTGAGATGAGTGGGAGGCACTCTGGGATCTCTGTAGCAAGGCCCTGGAGTATGTCAGGCAAGACTTTGTCTGACAGGAGTTACTGCCGTCTTCCTGAGCTGGCTTTCTTGAGAGGGTTTTCAGAGTGTAGCTGGGTTGTCCTGCTCCCTGCTTCCCCCGCAACAGTCTTCCATGGGCTTCTAGCAGGTGGCAGAGGAAGAAGGCCTTTTCTAGGTCTAATTCCTGCCTGTGATGCAATTTATAGACTGCCTGTTCACCATCTATCTTCTCATACAGCGTCAGCAGCAATTGCTCAAGCTTTGTATACGTTTCTCCACTGCACAAACAAGAAGTCTCTTTTTCTCTGGACTCACTTTTGCGTCCACTGTCTTCAGTTTTCACCTCCTTAGCAAGCAGACACCGGTATCTGTCAGAGTGCCTGTCCTTTTGGCACTCTCGCCTGGCCGCCTGCTCCCTCACAGCCCTCTGCTGTTCCCTCTCCGCTTCTTCCCGCAGGTGCCTCAGCTCCACAGAAAGGTGGCCACGGGCCCGCTGCGTTCGCCTCTTCTCTGCTTCCCAATCAGCCCGCAGCCTCTGCAGCTCTTGCCCATAGTCCGTCTGGCCCTGGCATGGTTTCTTGGATGACAGCGCCAGACGGTTATCACTGTCTTCCCTCATGATGCCACGCTCACAGCACAACATGCAAGGAACGGTGAGAGGCATTCATTTCTAACGAAGGGGGCCATGCATCAGAACTGAGAGGAAGTGCAGGTGGGTGATGGGTGGTTATCAGACATGCAGCATGCAATTATCACAGCAGGTCACTGGGAGGATGAGACAGTGGGGGATGTGAGAAAAATTGAAGAGATGGTCAGGTGTTTTAAAATGTTTTAGATGAATGTAGCAACAAGAAATACAACATGAAAGCACAGGTGATATATTCAATGTTGGCCTTCAATGTTAGAAAGAAAGCAGCACTCTGAACAGGAAAGCATGCACAATGAATAATGAAATATTTTGATGTTTTTGTTATGAGTAGCGAGATAACTTGACTCTGGAAGCCCTCTGTATGCACTGAGGAGCAAATAAATCTGTGGCAACTGCTGCTTAATCTATGTGAAGCCCAATCAATGCATACTTTGATAGTCTATATATGGATACTAAACAGTTCATTACAGCCTTAACCCTGAGCAAATTATGATTATGTGTACCTGTTTTTGTGCTGTTTAAACCTCGCATATAATGTCCATATCATGCAGATGGATGACAGAACTAACAACCGTTTAACAGGTGACAGCATAAAAACAAAACAACACGAGATGCGATTAATGGAGCTTATGCCCAGGAGCTAACAGTCAGCTGAGGATGCAACAAGTGAAGTGCTGAACTTCCACAGAAACGCTCCAACAGCAATGCACCGTTAGCTATCATTACGGTGGCCAATTATACCCACCACTAGCTTAAATTAGCATAACTTGCGTCTCATATTGCAGAGGATGGGGACTTCGGTCAATGGCTAATTAATTAGCTTCATTTAGCTAGCTGTTACATGGTCAAATAAGCGCTGCTAATGTAAGTAACGATATTTAATAACGTAGATAACAGTCTGTAGTATATTGGATAGGTTACAAGTTACAAGTACTAACGTTAGCTACTAGTTACGTCTTGTTAGCGAGTGTTAGCTTAACGTTAAGTTTTCTAGCCACAACTTATATCAAACTCACCTCTCAGCGGATTTAACTCTTATATTTCAACTTTTCATCAATGGAGTCCAACTAAGGTGCTTTTGTCGGCATAAAAATAAGCTGTCTAACAACACTGAGACTGGTCACGTTAGTAGTTAAAGGTCCACAGAGCCATGCCAGAGGGGGTTTGTTTATCTGTGAGGCACCAGTGCCACTCACAGTCTGTGTCCAGACTGCGGTCAAGCTAGCCCCCACAGTGTTCTACGGTACGTCGTGTATATACTAGGCATTACGGTAAGAGCGTGTGACTTCAAAATAAAGGCAGAATCCGGTGAACGTGAAAGACAAACAAAATCAGTCTGTCAGTAATAAACAAAAACTTAAATACACAAATAAAATTAAAAAAAAGATACATAATGTGTTTTTAGCGTTGTTGTGGTGACTCGTCCCGTAACGGTGCTGCCTTCACGTGCCTCGACCCATCATTAAAAGATCTATTATAATACTGTACGACTTCTCGTGCATTTAAATCCCTGTCATTCGACAAATAGTCAGGTGTCTTCCTATGCATTCCTACAAACCCTAATTATAATTATATAATATAGAAAGCTCCACTTTTCACGGCTGCGTTTACAGATTTGAGTTGTTTAAATATGCATTTTTACAAATTGCAGTGTTTCCGACAGTCCCTGAAGGCAACACAGCCATTGAGTCCAACCAACTTGTGTGAGATGGATGACCACCAGTGGCCACAGGCTGCTAGTGCAGTGTTGTTAAAGTTTGTAAATCTGCCGATTTTAATAACCTAATCAGAGGGATCATTGTATTAGATCTTTTTATTATTATTATTATTATTATTATTATTATTATTATTATTATTATTATTATATTATCAGAGCAAAGGTACAGAGTCCCATGTGCAAAGGAAAACATCTGCAGAAAATCTTTGTCCCTGTTGTCATAAAATATCTTTATCAGTAAATACTATATCAGTAAGGACAGCCACTTTTTTTGAAAACAGCTTGCTACCTCAGCACACAGCACTTTGAATCTATTTTTATATCCTTAATTCAGTCCTCATCATCGAGTACCTAGCAGCCTACTCCTTTTACAGTAATGTAGTTTCTATTGTGTGTTGTGTTTTTATGTCAGTGTGTTTACCCTTTTAATAGTAAATTTCCCACATGCAAACCGAAAACAAATTTCTGCCTTTTGCATACAAAACACTGACAATAAAGTATTGTCTATTCTGTTCTTTTTTAACAATAAATTTGCATTGCTCTTGATCCTTGAATAATAAGACACGCAACCTGCGTTATTTAAACTTTCTTGTCATGTAAGAGTTCTGAGGGGTTTACATAGCCCTCCTGTATATTTCCCTTTTCTGGAAAAGAATCCAATTTTATGAGTCCAGTATAATTTTGTTGTCTGGGAGAACGAATTAGATTTCATGACAGTGGTATCTTCCAAAACAAGGGTGTCATACACATCACCAGCAGGCCAGAACTGGGCCACCAATGGGTTGAATCAGGCCCACTGATTGAATTTGCAAAGTGCAAAAACTGAAGAAGTCATTTATTCCAATTTTTCAATGAAATGCTCTGCTGTTCCTTATTGTCCACTGAGGATGGCACTGTCCACATAAAAGTAGCAGGTCCTGTGTTTGAAAAGCCATTAAAGATCCCACGTCCTTACTATGCAACAAGCACTGTCAAGCATTGGCTACTGTTGATGCAGGAGCCACCAGTGGTAAATGTCTTTGTCAAAAAGGAAAAAAACTGGACACACAGGAAGCTGTTGTTTTGTTTTGGTTTTTTTTTCAAGAAAAAAGGACCAGTTCCTAAGTTTGAAGTTATTGCACTTGGTATGTTCACAGCACCTTTCAGTGCTAAAGAAATATAGAAGAAGACATACTATATAAATAATATTAAGTGCCACTAATAGATTCAGCAGTGGCACGGTGGTGTGGTGGTTAGCACTGTCGCCTCACAGCAAGAGGGTTCCCGGTTTGATCCCAGGTGTGGGAGCCCTTCTCCCCGTGTCAGCGTGGGTTCTCTCCGGGCACTCCGGTTTCCTCCCACAGTCCAAAAACATGCAGATTGGGGACTAGGTTAATTGATAACTCTAAATTGTCCGTAGGTGTGAATGTGATTGTCTGTGATTGTCTGTGTCAGCCCTGCGATAGTCTGGTGACTTGTCCCTGCCTCTTGCCCGATGTCAGCTGGGATAGGCTCCAGCCCCCCCGCGACCCTCAAGAGGATGAAGCGGTTAGAAGATGAATGAATGAATAATAGATTCAGCAACAAACTATCAAATAAAACAAAAACTTGCATGAAGAGCTGAGAATAGAAATGATAAATGAACTGTTGACAGGTTTGAGGAGACAGCAGAAATCAGCAGCTGTGAAAGGATAGAATATGTAGGCTATTTGCTTTTCTTTACACTAAGCTTGAGGGGAAATTTTGGAGATGTTGTCATTTACAGGTTATTATACAGTGGTTTCACTGGTCTGGCCCACTTGAGATCAAATTCGGCTGCACGTGGCCCATGAACTAAAATGAATTTGACACCCCTGCTCTAGAAAAACATCATTCCTGTTGTTGACATGCGTCATCTCTTACCAGTAATGTCATTTTCTTGCTGAGTGTCAGGTGTCTGCAAAGTGTTTAATGAAAGAATAATATGTGTGTGTGCATAAAGCATTGACCAAACGTCCCTTGTGACACAGTTTTGGAAAACAGGAAAGAGGAAAGCAGCAGATACAGAACACAACAGGCTTGGCTTAAAATAAGTGTACTAAATCAAAGCCTGTAGAGATGACTGGCAGGCACACAGGATGTTAAAAAAAACTTTAGCAGCCAGACAGGAAACAGAATTAAGGAATGTCTGATTATTGTATGTGTGCAAGGAACACTCAGCAGGGACGACCAGTGGCCAGGTGAGGGACAGCAGCATGGTCCGGAGTGACTGGGGAGGGAGAGAAAGTCTGTAGGTGGTAGTAAAGCGTGCCGATATCACCATGACACCTTGTTTGCTTTAATAACCCTGAGTGGTGTCTCATCACCTTGTGTTACCTGATCAGATGACTGAGAACCAGGTGCCATCTAACCTTCCCTTTTACCATTGAATCCTTCATGCTCTCATGCTTACATCCTGGTCACAGTAATATCTTATTACAAGTTTGGTAGAGTTATGTGCTGCCTTTAATCCAGTACGTGACTGCTATTGCTGCAATCTTGAGGTCCCACTTTTTATCTTCACTTGAGGATATAATGAACAGGAAGGCACTGTTTAATATGATCCCTGCCTTCTTGATAAAAAGCTTCCTGGGATTTCATTATTTGGCAAAGGCAGTGATATTGAAATGTATAAATCCTCAGAGGTATGTACATACCTTTTCAATATCATGTTGCCAAAATCCATCAGAGGCGAAGCGTACTGTGTCTGACCACTGGGTGGCATCTGTACAAGCACAGAATTGCTTGTACATTTCAGTCCATATTTATGTTCATCTAGTAGCTTGTGTCATTGTAGCATGCTAATGAGCTAACACAAGTGAGTGTCGAGAGCATTTCTGACGCTCTATGTTCATTGTGAGAGTGAAAGAGACAGAGATGGACAGGCAGAGATGAGAGGGAGATTCAGCATACCACTGTGTGTTATCAGGGTGTCCTTGGGCCGCTCCCTCTCTCATTTCCATCTCTGTCTGCTCACGTGTGGCAGGCTGCTGGGAAGAGGCAGAAACAGAGAGAGACGGAGAGAAAATGCTAGGCAAAAATCCTAAAGCGTGCTGCTTCATTCCCTCAATCAAATCCACACAAATAGGTGTGTACATAAACATACCTATACACTATGCACATGCTTCAGCCACGTGCACAACAACACTTTGGGAGCCCTGACAGCAAAACCCTTTAATACACATTTTTGTTTGCACACTTCCTGCATCTGACCTGCTTCTGCAGTTTTGATCTGAGGCCATGCACATGATGTGAGCATATTTCTGTCGTCCCATATATATTTCCATATACAATATGTTCTGGCACATATGGCTCCTGCATATTTGGACACATCTCAGTATGCTGACGCCATCTGTCACACTACACTTTACATCAACGTTTTCACATCTGTTTATATGCATTACATTAAAGCACATCTTTGGGTCTATGTCTCGGTACACTGTGTATTCTTTTTATTGTTAAAGGGACAGTTCACCCCAAAATTAAAAATATATATGTCTCCTCTCACCTGTGGTGCTGTTTATCAGTCTAGATTGTTTTGGTGTGAGTTGCTGAGTGGTAGAGGTATCGGCCACAGAGATGACGCCTTTCCTTAGATATAATTGAACTAGATGGCACTCAGCTTGTGGTGCTCAACATGCCAAAAATATACATTTGAAAAACTCCACAGCAATGTCTCTGTCCAGAAATCATGACCCAGTTACTCAAGATAATCCACAGACCTTGTTGTGAGCAGTTTCATGTAGGAACTATTTTCTGTTGACCGAATTACACTTGCCAACTGTATTTAGTTTAGTTTAATTTAGTTTAGCTTAGTTTAGTTTAGTTTAGTTGATCTTATCTTAGCTTAGCTTAGCTTAGTTTATTTTAGTTTAATTTAGTTTAGCTTATCTTAGCTTAGCTTAGCATGGTTTAGCTTAGCTTATCTTAGCTTAGTTTATTTTAGTTTAATTTAGTTTAGCTTAGTTTAGTTTAACTTAGCTTAGTTCAGTTTAATTTAGTTTAGCTTATCTTAGCTTAGTTTATTTTAGTTTAATTTAGTTTAGCTTAGCTTAGCTTAGTTTAGTTTGGTTTAACTTAGTTTGGTTTAGCTTAGCTTAGCTTAGCCTAGTTTTGTTTACTTTAGTTTAGCTTAGCTTAGCCTAGCTTAGTTTAGTTTAATTTATTTGGATCCCAACTAGCTAATGCCTAATACTAGTGAGTCTCACCACTTTGTGCTGGATAAAAGCAAACCAGAGCTGTACCCACTCTTAGCTAGATGTACTCTTAAACTGAACTTTAAGGGGTATTAGTGTAAGTGTTTTGGTGTATAGTGGTATGTCTACTGTAGTAGATGTATTGTGTGCTGTGGCATGTGTACTGTAGTGTGTGGATTGTGGTTTATGTATTTTATTGTGCCTTCCATGTTTATAGTGTATTGTGGTTGTGTGATATTTTAAATTGTATATTTATAGTTATATAACATT